CCCCAAAACCCCAAAACCCCAAAACCCCTTGACGGTATAATAAAGTCATTTATAATAATAAACAATTTTAATTTAAATTTAGTTTGCTTAATCGAATAATCATATAAGTCGATAATATGTCATCATATCAACCAGAAAATGATCTATTCTAGCGACTGCTTTTCACATAAAATAATGATACATTCAATAACTTCAACAAAAGAGGATTGGTAGATAGAGAAGAAACTGAACTATTGGAATTTGAAATTGAGTAGCATTACTAATTCCTTGAGAAGCAGCACCATCCTATCATGAAAAATTCAAATTAGCTTAGTAAAAGTAAAACTAGAGCTAAGGAAGAGATAAATGAGCCTTCAATGGACAATGAGAATTTGCTAAGATACCTTAACAAAGAAGACAAAAGCCAAAAAAAATAAAAGGGAGCAAAGAGGCAGTTCAAGGCTGAGTAAATGCTCCTTGAGAGCCCCTTAATGGATGAGCAATAAATGCTAAATGATAGAATAAACTCACTTAAAAAGAACCTTAAACTTAGCGGAATTCCCCTGTTTGGGAATCTAGTAAATCCTTCTAATGTTATAAACTCGGCTAATCAAACTCTGACTTGCATCTAGAGCTTAATCTCATAAATGAATCAGATAAAACAAGAATGCTAAAAGTCTTCAGATGTTTAAAACAGGTTATAAAACGAAAATACTGCTCTTTATGCTAAGAATGAAGGTCTCTAAGATATAATAAAAGAGTTAAAAGAAAAACTTAAGGGTGTAAGGTTAGATGTCAAGAACATTACTGAAAAGAAAATTGACTAGGGCGAGTAGATTAAACAATAGGATAGAATGAAGCAGTAGGATATATAAAAAATGGAAATGAAGATGACTTAGATGTCACATGAACTCAAGAAGATTCAGGTTTAGAAATTCCAACTTCAGGAGAAAATTCAAAAGATGCTTGACATGAATAGGTATAATTTAGGCATAGTCGAGTTAAATGGCAGAATAATTAAAAACAAGGATCATAGTCCTGTTAGGAAGAGGCAAGCAAACGCTGAAGATTTAAACAAAGAACTATTAATGCAAAATACTCTGGGCTACGAAAAATAAATTAAAGTATTCCATACTGAACACGAGAAACTAATGGAGTGCTTGGATTTATTTGAATGCACTTTGAATACAATTACTCCTAATCTTGGTTTCATGGATGTTTACGATACTCAAAATGTGCAAGAATATCTAGACAAGTTTAAAGAAGAAATACAAAAGGTGTTCATCAATAGAAGCAGCTCTCTCAACTCTCATAGGTCAAGCCCTTTAAAGTCATCACCTCTAAAGCAGAGCTCTAAAAATCTTACTCCTATCAAACAGTAATTATCAGAAAGTAAGCAAACTCCAATTGAAGAAAAAGATGAAGAGCAAGAGAGAATAGACTACGAGAAGCTTAAATGGAAAGCATTATTTAGCTTGAATAAAGAAACTGGAAACACTATTATATTTGATTGATTTAATCTTTGATTTCATCATAAGTAGTTGAATCTAGAGTTGAGGGGTTTTGGGGTTTTGGGG